CCTGCTGCCGGGGCCGGGGGCCGCGGGGGGGGCTTGTTTCTCTGCCGGCGTCACGGCGGGCGGGTGCGGAGGCTGGAGCCAGACCTCTGGCTCGGGATAAAATTGCGCCCTTTTTTTTTAATTTCAATTTAATTTTAAACTTCAGCAAAAGCCTTGTCCTGCGAGTGGATTAATAACTGGCTGGGAACTCTGCTCCTCCCACATGCTCCCGAGGCATTCTGCGTTTATTCCTTTTTTGCTCCATAAGCCATCCTGAAGATTGTTTTTATATATATATATATGAAGTAATTTTATCGTATGTCTTAGAAGCAATGACCAAGATAAAGTATCCTCACTGCTGTACTTGAGACCAACCCTGCCTAGAAGCTCCTGGGAGCTACATAGACAAAGGATAGGAGGGGAAATGGGATCTCAGAAGACTTGCCTGATGTCAAGCAGCCTGTGGCAAGGAGCCCAGACCTCTGATCTCCATCCATTCCCCCATCGTCAAGACTCCATGCTTTTCTTCTGCATGTATTTTTAATGCTTTCTAACTTTTCAACCTGCAGTATTTTTCTCCCTTTAGACTATCTTCTGAGCCTTGTCCCATCGTTGCACATTCACCTTAGTGCATCCACTGGAAGAACTGTTTGTCTTCCTGCCCAGGGAGTGTACAAATATATTGTGTTAGCCTTCTACAGGGCATTTCAGATGCTATGGCACTGATGCAACCTGCTTGGATATGTATTATCCTCTCAGTATTCTTGGCAGGAAACAAAGCTTTCAGCTCAGTCCCAGACTACGGTAAAATGTGTCTACCAAAATTAGGCATGAGGCGTTCAGGGAAAAAACAGGAAGGTGAAACTTAAGCTCAGTATGAAGAGGTTACAGGCTGGTTTCCCTGGTGCATAGTAAACGCAGATGATGGTGTTTAGACCTGAGCCCAGGGGTGTGGCTTGGTTCCTCTGTGCCACTAGTCTTGATCAGAAATGGGAGTTCAGCACCTCTTGCAGTGGGACCTTATCTGAAACAAGGATGAAAATCAAGGATAGGTTTGGACCCTGTAACAGAAACCACAGCCTATTTCAAGAACAGCTGATGCCTCTGGCTTTGTCCAGTAACTACTTAGGCAGCTTTTGAGGGCACTGATAATGCTCATTATCTAAGAAATGATGTCCCAAAGGTAAAGGTAGGAGTGCATGTGTCTGCATGCACATGCCCTCTGCTGGGTGTACAGGCCCTATTGTGTTCAGATACTGCTCATACACACGTAGGCTTCATTCACCGCCTGAGCCTTGGGGATCAGCTGCATTGTCACATGAACCTCTGACCGGCACCATGTCTGACTTTGACCAAGCACCTTTCCTTCATCCCCCTCCCCAGCAAAACCTACAACTAAAACCAATTAACTGATAGCATTAACATAATGCCGGATCTGACTTGCAGAAGAGCAATTAGCAGTGTTGGTGGCCTGCCCTGCAGGATTAGTTCTGCTAACCCAGCTCAGCCCATGCCCTCCCATGCTAGCCTGCTGTGGTAACTGCTTGTCTGAGCACTCAGGACCTCTTGCCTCCTGCCCCTCTCAGGGTTTGAGAGCCCTGTTGCTATTTCCCTGCAGTGTGTTTTTGCGTGGGGTGACAATCTCATACAGGCGGACAGCTCCCTCTTGTGATAACACCGCTCCCACAGAACTCACAGTAGCTCCTGAACCCCAAACCGCTTCAGAACCTGCTGTTTTGCCCTGTCCAGCTCTGAACATCTGTAAGTTCCCTGTGTGCTTGCCACAACCATTTCCAGTTGTGTGGGTATCCTTGTTTCACTTTTGCGTGGTGCAACCTGCTAGCAGCTGTGATGTATGCATCACTGGCACCGCTTGGCAAAGTAGCTGGACCTTTTGATACCAGCTACACTTTTCATCGCCAAGCCTCTTGCCTCATCTTTTTCAAGCTGATGTTCTCCACAAGCTTCATGGACTGGGTAGCTTGCTTTCCTAACTATATGTTATCTGCTGCATCATATTTCAATACTGGGTCTTCCAGTAGTTTCTTCAGAAGCATTTTGTCTCACATTCCATCTTTCAGTAGGTCTCCAAATGGTCACGCTGACTCTCCACCCACATCAATCACAGACTTACATTATCGTTTTTCTCCCTCTTCATTTAAAATGTTTAAATCCCATTCAGTAACAGCTTCATAGCTAGCTTTGGTTGCTGAATTCACTAAACACCTATTGGAAACATAAAGTGCTTCAGAAACAGCTAATGCCAGAAGCGATGGAGATTTCAGTTTGATTGCCTTTTTTAATGGCACCTCTGCTTGAAGTTATAGTCATGTTCATATTTGCAGAGAGTTTTTGTTAGATCAGGGTGTTAACTGCTCCACACTTCTTGCTCATCTGGAGTTTGTTTTATTTCTGGTACCATGCATTATTCAGAAATTGCTCAGAACCAAATAATGTGCTTCATTTGGTGTCTAAGCTCAAACCAACACTATTCACCAAGAGCAGCATCGAGCAAGCAGTTTTAATTTTCTTCAAGAGTCTCTGACAGGTACTGCAGCTCTCTGCCCCACCTCAGCGCTAAGAGAAATTCTCCTTCATGAAAAATAGTTGTACTTGCAAAAGAAGGAGCCTTTTTACAACCCTCTCTGGAAACCTTTGAATGGGCCTTGGTCCCTCAGTGGCAAGTGGGATCTGCCGCACTGTCATATGCTTGTTAATACCCTTGAAACTGCATCAGCTTGCAATTTTACCTCGTCACATCAGTGCAATTTAAGATCTCTGAATAAATACACAGTTAATTCAAGTCTTACGTAAATCAAGCACTGGGGATTACTTGAGCAAATAAATGAGAATGAGATTGCAAGTATGGTTGGTCAGGAGTTTTTCTACCAAATCTTTTTTCTTTTTGAAATGGAAATCTCTGTGGAAACATTGCAGCATCCTCAAAGCTCCTCCTGTGAGCATTATTTGGGATGTAGGAGGAATCTATGGTCTCTGCCATAGTGGGCCCAAGACTTACCAATGAGGACATTCACATCACTTGGGATAGGGATTGAACAATCTGACTACTAAACTGTTTCTCACCCACACTGGAATCTGTGCCCTCCCTCTCACATGCACTCTTCCTTTCTCCCATGTGTTTTCTCTTTCCTTCAAAGTGTCTTCCTTTTTTTCTCCTGCAAAATAGACTCCTCTTCTTTTTCTTCTGCAGAACAGATATCGTCTTTTCTGCTCAGTGCCACTTCCAGCATTTAGAAATAGAACAGGCCACAGAGAAATGAAGCGCAAGAGGAGAAATAACTGTTCTCACTTCTGTAGCATGACCTGAGACCTCAAAATGCTTTTCACACTTGAATAGGCTGTGTCAAAAAACTGCTGGATAACACGTGAGTATTAATACCACCATCCTAAGACTGGTGAAACAGTTCTGCTGCAGCTTTGAAGAGCAATTGGCCTGGGATACCAAGGGAGAAAGACCAGGCAGCCCAGGGCCTGCCGTTCAGTGCATCTCTCAGGTGCTGCAAACTGGTAGGGGGAATTAACTGGAACAAGATCCAGAAATAAGATAGAGCCTCAGATACATCATTTTAGGATATTTCACTGCAGCTGGTAATTAGACTATGATGCAGAATAAGCTAGATTCATCCCTCATTTCATGGAAATTGTACCCAGATTTTCTGAGGCTAAAAGTAGACTCAAGAAACATCTTCCTTTTCTGTACTTAGCACTGAAGGAACTGTAGCTCAAAGCTTCATGTGGCAAGGAGCTTCACCAGAACAAAATTACTGACTGGAAGTGCTCTATTTTTCCAATCTGGTGGCAGCAATTTCTGCTTCATATTATTGCGGTACCTTCTAAGCTGTTCAAGGGTCCTTTGTGCTTTGTGTTGCAGAAATCTGGTCCTGGCCTATAAAACAGGCTGTCTGCCCAGATAAGAAGAGTGACACAGAGCAGGAAAGTGAGCCGTGCACAGGGAGGGAGTCACTCAGCGGCAGATCAAGGATCCTGCTGTGCCATCCTCCTCCCTCTCCTTCACTGGCTCTGCACCCACCTCTGCTCTTCCCACTGATAGCTGAATACCAACCAAGATTTCCCTCCTTTCCCTTTTCTCCTCTCTGCACACTTTCTCTGCGTGGCCTTAATTCCCAGATATGTGACAGTCCCAGGAGGAAGGAGCCCAGAGTAGCACCAAACCTAGTTTCACATTTATCAGGACCTCACTTTCATTAGCTTGCCCTGGTGATATCCTAATGTACTGCAGCTGCTTCTCTGCTCTTCAGGTCTTTCTTTCCCTCCACTAGCAGTCCCTAGTCTGGTTCTGGAGTGAGGCATTTTGGGACTCCCAGACAGGATTGGAATGTCACAGCATGCCATGGCATCACCAAAGCACTCCTTCTGCTTCTCTGCACCAGGGCTTCCCTTCATCCTGGTGCCAGAAACTATGCCTCTATTTCACACACCTCCAAAAATGTCTTCAAAACAGCAGTTACAGGTAACAGTCTTCAGGCTCCACAAGGCTGGGATCAACAAAGGCTGAGTTTAGTGCAGACTCAGGGCAAAGAGAGTCTTTCAGATGAAGTTTGGACTCATGTTCTTTCCCTGGCTCTGCTATTCAAGTTGTGTGCTTCAAAGGGGCAAGACTTGAAGGAACTGTAGCGAACATAAAGTCACACAGCCCCACCAGTGCACTCCGAGACTCTGGACATCTGGAGCTGGCAAGGAATTGGGCTCCTGCTCTGTATGCAGGGCTTCCCCTTGCCTTCCCCCATTTATAGAGGAAAGCCAGTCCCATTTTGGCCAATGAACCCCATCAATTTCACCACCTGGAGCTGTCTCCAGATGGGGACGTGTG